AGCTGTCTGTGTGGGCTCCCAGAACCCCAAGCAAGCAGCCCCAAAGGCAGAATCTCAGCCAGTGTTCTCCCCCTGTCCCAATCCTTGAGGAATTTTCACCTTTCTGTGCATTCCCATCACCCCAAGAAGAGGATGCCTCAAAACCATCCCCSATCATCTGCAACCCTCCTTACAGAAGAGCCTTGCTTGAGTCTCTGGTGAGCACCTTGCACAGCCAATCCCTCRGAGCAGCCCCTCTCCTGGCCTTTGMAACRAGTCAGCAGCGASAAAAATGTCATTTACATCCCTCACCGTGTGTGTGGCACTGAGTGGGGTCAAGGCCGCCAGAGAACAGCCAGACAGACTCTGCAGGGATATCTGTGCAGAAATCATCCCAGATTTGGGGGCAGCCAGTCCTGCACCCACAGTGAAGATGCTGCGCAGCTCAGGGCAGAGGCTGCTCGTAGGTACCTGTGGGAGGAAGGGCACTGGAACACATTCCACTCCTGTCTTCCCTGGAAGATCCATCATTTGTAAGATGGATGGACCTTTGGCTTTGTTGGTTTTTTGACTGTCTGACTGTTTTTTATGCCCGGGACAAGCTCTCACCCAACCCACAAAGCTCTGTCCTGCCCCAAGTCCCACCTACGCACAGAGGGCAAACAACAAACCAACAAAACGAGTSGCAAACTCAGGTTCAAAGCCCAGCATCCCTTTTCCAGCCCGGAGAGGAAGGCAGGGCGGATGCTTGGCGTGAGATGTGATGTGAGCACTCCCTGCCATCCCAGGGAAGGGCTCYCCTGCCCCATCCCCTGCTGAGCAGGCACGGCCAGCCCGGGGCCAGGCGCAGCCGTGTGCGTGCGGCCGCTGACGGATGGCTCCCCGACCAGCACAGCAGCCCTCCCCAGGGCTGAGGCTCTGCACGACATTGCTGTCAGGGGCAGGGAGCATCCCCCAGCACGGCAGCAGGGCCCAGCTCTTCCCAGCTGGCTCTGCCATTGGGTCAGTGGGGGTCAGATGTGTGGGATGCGGGGTTAAGTCTGCCCAGGGTGGCACAAGTCGCTTTGCATCTCAGCTGCTCGAGGTGCTGGTGAGCTGTGGAGGTGGTGATTTGCCAGGGGGCAGCTCCACAAATGCACCCCCTGCTCCCTCAGCAGCACTCAGTGCCCTGTTTCACCTCCCAAAGCATTAGAAGGGGGAAGCATTTGCATGCTCCAGGGTCGCTCCTGGTTTGTGTGTTCACAAATCCCAAAAAAAAACCCAGCCTAGAGCATGCCCGTGAGCCACCATCCCCTAAATGCAACCCCGTATCCTGGCCTCCAAACCTGCCCYGAGCGCCCTGCTGTCCCCTCCTCGCCTCGTGTATGCCTTTAACAGTTTGCTGGATTACCCATTGCAACTAAAATAACAAAGCTACAAAAGAAGAGGGCAAACAGACGCGATATTCTGCAGCAATTAGGGCTAAACAGGGGAACAGGGAGCAGGGAATGAATGGACAATGGGGAGGGCAGGGACATGGCAGCCCGGGCCCCGACGGGCCGGGCACGAACTGTCCTCAAGAGGCCGGGTCCGAGCCAGGGAGCAGCGAGCTGTACGTAAGGAAAGCAGGGAGATGAAAAGGGTTATTTAAACAAGCACCGGGCAGTCCCCACAGGGCCTCCCTGTCCGCTTGGCTTCCTCACAGAGTGTCCAGGGAAGAGCAGCTCCCGCTTTCCCCCCTCTCCCAATCCTTTCAGGTGGCGGGGGGACGCTGGCAAGCTGCGGTGGGCTCYGCTTAGAAAGGAAGGAATCCATTAATCTCTCTGGTAATTACTGCCACATATGGATTTGCACAATTACACTTCGTTAATTGGTTATTACAGGCAAGCCAGACTGATTGGGCAGAACGGCCAAGCTTTAACCCCTTCGCTGCCCCCAGGGCCAGCCAGACACCGAGGCAGCCTTCCTCCCAAAATTGCTCTGTATCCTCCTGTCACCCTGCTGGCTCCCGTGTAAAGGACCRGCAAGAACAGCCCTCAGCACCCAGAAGAGACATCTTTGCTCTCATGCCTTCCTTTCCTCTGGAGATTCCAAAGAGATGGGGGACAGGAGTGAGCCTGCACCTCAAAACAGCCAAACTGCCCAGGAAACCGCATCAGAGATTCACAGCAGAGGCACCACGTATTCCCCAGGGTGCTGAGGGATGGCAAACTCAGATTTTGTTTGTTTTTAGAAGGAGACTGAGATTCCTTGTGCACTTCGGCTTTGTGCCCTCAAGCCCAGCAGGGTTGGTGCCAGCTACAGAAGAATCCACCCCTGAGCCTGTCTCAGTCTCTGAACTCAGCTTTTCYTACAGGATTTGCAGTGTAATGATTTTCTTCCTCCAAACACTCAAAACAGAGGCTTTACTCTAGTAATAAACCCATATGTAACCAGAGCTGTAACAAAAAATATAGATAAAGCCCTTGTAAAACTCCTGACAGCATAGGATTTCTGCTAGCTGGGAGTGTAGGCAGCCTGGCCTCCCCACAATGCCACCATCACCTCTGCCACCCCTCACAGGTACAACAGACCATCCAAAACCTGGCCCCAAAATGTCTTGTTCAGGATCCAGCAATGTTTCTGGAGAAAGCTCAGCAGAGGCAGGCCGAGGTAAGAGCAATTTCTGCCAGAACTGAATCAAAGGTTTCCCCTTAAAAAACTGTAACAGAAAGGAAATAAGAGTGTTGCAAAAACCCCACCGGGCAAAAGGGCTCATCTGACAAGAAAGCTGTGCTCAGCAGCCACCAACATCAAAAGGCAGAGCTGGCACTGCCGTCCTGGTCCTTCCAAGCTGCTCTGCTGCCCCTTGGCCACTGGAGAGGGCACAGAGAAACCTACCCCAGACAGTTTCTGCCTCTCCCTCTCCTGAGGCAGTGCCTTCTGGGCAGGAGGATATTGCTTAACCCAGGCAAAGGGATCAGAGAGCCAGGCATCACACCAGGCACACGGGAAAGGCTTTCAGCTCAGCTCCTGAACCACCCCAGCAAGCCACTGCAGCCAGAGCAAGGAAAGAAACCAAGCAAGATCACAGCAAGATGAGAGAAATCTAATTCCAAACCACTGTCTAGCCTCATCCGGTGGTTAAAAAAGCCCTTGGGACTTCGGCCGAAGCAGAAAATATCTGCAACAAACACATACCCACCCTTTCCTCCACTGCTGTCACTGCAGTGATGCCTGCTACAGCACTCTAGGTCTAGCCTAGGTCACTCCTAGCTGATTTTTTCTTAGYTTTCTCATTAGCTAATTAAAGTGCTTTTACTGTCCCCTCTCTGCTGCAAGGAGCAGCCGAGCAATAAAAGCCTTCTCCCTTGGAGGTCACTGGTGTTGCACKAAAGTTACAGTGGGCGTTGTCCCTGTTCCCATCATCTGCGATTTCCCAGCTCCCTGAATTCTCTCAGACGTTTCTTTCTCATTAAGGAGCCAGCTCCAAGCCCTCTGTCTGAAGGGAGCATGGCAAAGGCAGCATCTCCCAGCTCCCCGGCAGTGTTTTCGGGTGTGCGTGCGCCTGTCTCTGAGGATGGGGAAGGCAGGCCAGCCCAGGAAAGGTTGCAGACCTCTCCCCTAAACCAGCGTTCAGAATGAATCTTCAGAGCTGTCACAGGGAAGATCGGGCAGAACCTGCAACTGGGCTTAAAAAGGTCAGCTGGGAAAAGTCAGGATGGGAAGGATGCCGGCTTTATTGACAGATGCAGAGAGGAAGGGGCTGTGAGTACCTGCAAGATGGTTTGGGCAGCGCACGCTGCAATTCATCTGTGGGCTCTTTCTGGCTGCAACTGGTGACAAATCCTCTGTGGATCACTTCCAGACAACAGAGTCTGGGGGCTAAGCCTGAAACTGAGACTGGGGCTAAACACCAAACAGGGATCTTGTGTCTTCCTCCCTGAGGGRTGAAAGCASACTGGCAGAATGGATGCCTTTGTGSCTCTCATGACAGTTTTTTAGAGCTCAGAGACTAGAACATGATTTTCTCTCTGTCCTTTACTTACACAGGTTGGTTTTGATTCCCAGAGCTCAGAACTGGTGCAAAGGTTACTTTGCATCTGATTGGATCAATTCCAGYGTTGTGCCACTGATATATAGGAATCAGGCAAATAGTATACCTGCCAATGCTCATTAAACATGGTATTGGTACAGATATGTGGCATATTTACTAATAAAACAGCAAAAGTGGGAGCTGGCTTCTATTTTATGTGACTTGGAAATATATAAAGGCAAGTAAATGTATTCCTTTTGGTCAGAATATTGATACACATATACTGCAAAAAGCTCACAGGCAGCAGAGGTGGTGAAAAACATTGAATCAGGCCAAAACCCAAACAACGTTCAAAGGGATCTGAAATTAATTAGGCCATTAAGACAGTTTTCTAGTGGAATTCTCTCTCTCTCTCTCTCTCTCTGTACCTACACACACATATTTAATACATTCGACAAAATCAGTATTTATCTCAGGAGAGGTTCAGCTTTTAGAGAAACATCACTTTGTTTAAAGTATTATTCTCACAAAAACTCTTGGCTTGCTCTAYGGATAGCTTCCACCTGTTCTTTCCTAACCTTTATGAGCTGATCCCCAGCACTCCTTCMGTATAAGCCATCAGTAAATACAGTATCCCCTTCCACACCCTCAACACTTTCCTTTCTCTCCRTTGTGGGAGGAAAGCACACATTTGCAGGTCTGGACAAACACAGAGGAGCACAGGCTCATCTTGCCCATCTTCCTTCCCCAAATCAGAGACCTTCAAGGACAGAGCTGCCATTCCTTTCCCAGCCCATCTATCCCATCACACCCCAGCTTTTCCAGGTGTCCTGCAATGGAGAGTGCTGTGAGAGCTCCTTTCCAAAACCTGCACCCCAAATGAAGTCCCATAAAGGCTCCTCTCAGTGGGCACTGCTGGCTGAAGGGGCAGCGTGCCCAGGAGGCTTGGCACACCCCACAGCTCTTGGCAATGCTGTCCCTCGAAGCCTCCCACCACAGCTGAGCCCGGGATCAGGGCAGGACTTACAGAAGTGAGGGAAGGATCCCGTCTCCAGGGAATAAGGASCCTGCATGCCCGGCTGCATTTCCAACCTGCGTCCTGTCCCTCCAGCACACTCAACCATCAAGGGAGGCTTGGGATCAGCTCCCTCAGCACCGCTGGGCTGTTGGAGAAAGAAAGGAGYGTTTACATATTACAGAGTAGCATCTTCACAATCTGTCCCAGGTTACAAATTTACCTCCCAGACCTTGACCGGGGCTGGGGTTTCCGGTGTTTGCTCTTCGGGCTCCTGTCTCTTTGGAAAGCGGGAGATGTTGCAATGCCAGGGGGAGGGCTGGGCAGGGCTGGGGAGGGCTGGCAGCTCAGGCTGCACCAAGCACTCGGTCCGAGGCGGCTCTGCTGAGAAAGTGTCTCCTGGAAGCGCCTTCTCCTCTAATCCCAGCTCCTAAAGGAACGAAAGCAAGCAAAAAACAGCCTTCCATCCTGTCTGAGCATCTGGCTCACTTCTGCTTTCCTCCTTCTCTCTGCCAGTTGTCTCWTTTCTCTCATCTGCACCGACTGTGTCTGGTAATGAACATCGAGAAGGTGGCAGTGTCAGGCACGTCACCGCTGGACTCCCGTGGAGACCAAGCACAGCTGGTTTTGCCTCGSTGAAGCTGTGTGAGGACAACGGGGGCAGGTGTGAAGGCAGCAATGTTCCCTACACATTCCTGGGCAGTGTCACCGGCTCTTGCAGGTGACCTGGACAGACCCTTGTCTCCAGAAGGCTTTCAGAAAACAACCAGCCTGYGCTGTGACCGGTTTTTCTTGTGCTGAACTCAGAGCCCTCGGCTTTGTTCCTGCGCTCGCTTATCTCTGTTACATTCTCTAACCATGCATAGACATCTTCCCTCGTGTTTGGATTTTGCCAGCCCTGATGGAGAAGAGCTACAAGCAAACAACATTCCTCTCCCCTGTCTGAACTGATAATCTTGGTATCTCATCTCCTCTGCGCTCGCCTTCAGGCTGTGTCAACACTGAGGGGTTGTGCAGGGTGGGATTGCTCTGCCTCCCCTGCCCCATCCCGTACACCGTGTGCTGCCCAGCCCAGCACAGCCCCACAAACTCCTCTGGGGTGGGAATCTGACCTGCCAGGGGGTTTTAGACACCTTCCTCTGGGGTGGGAGTCTGACCTGCCAGGGGATTTTAGACACCTCCCTCTGCCAGATTTTTCCACGTTTTCAGCAAAAAAATACACGGGTCCCAAGTGCAGAGTGGTCTGAAGAAGTTGCCTTCCCGGGATTTTCAGGATAGGGAGGCTCTGCGCTGCTGAGAGCAGCACACAGAGCGTTGCCAAAGCCAAGGTGGGCCACACAGCCCTTCCACATCATTGCCAAGTGCCAGGAGAAGCAGCCGCAGGGAGTCCAGGCACGCAGAGCTAGCAAGGGTGCCAAACTGCTGGTTTGACTTTGCTTGCATTTGCAGGTAATTCTTAATCCGAAACTGCAACAAATTCCTCAAATTCAAGTTCTCATGGAGCTGAAACCCTGCAGGGTAATCTGGATTCAAGCCAGGAGGTGAAGAAAGAGACTCCTCTTTAGGAGCCATAGAAATCTACGGTGCTCTGTCAGCCACAACCATCGCCCCTCTTGCACTGTTCTGGGTAAGATAGATCCAAACTCCTTTTTTTCCTTCTTTTTATTTTTTTTTTTGTTTTTACCCAGGAAGGGCTGCCCAGCAGTCAAATCACTCCTAAGGGACTCCAGATCCCCTCAAAACTGCCAGTGACATTTTGGATCCACTCAGACTTGCCTCCCAGGAGCCCACAAACAGCAAGATTTCTGTGCCCTGATCTGTGGAGCTCGGATCTCTCTTCCCATCCCTTTCCCTTTCTCAGACCCAACATACTACAGCAGCTGCCAGAGCATGGAGCCRCTCCAGAAATGAATCTCCAATGTGACATTGCACAGCTTTAATTACACGACAAGAGCCATAAGAAAGGCTGCGAAACACGGCTCTCTCAAAATCCTAAATCTCCACTTGAGGCACTTTGTGTGGCTGAGAGCTGAAGTAGCGGAAYGTGAACACCCCCAAGCTCACAAAAGAGCTGAATCAATGTCCTGTTGATGCAGCCCAGCAAAATAAACTAATGATGGGCAGGACTGTGGGTTTTCACGTGTGAGGGAAGGATTTACAGTGATACCAAAGGAATTATTCCAGCCCCACGGTGACAATACCCACCCGCTTCCTTATTATATTTTATTGATCTTGCCCTAAATACATGTGGCCGGACGAAATGATGCATAAATTACTAACAAGTTAATTTCTTGCTCCGACACAGACTCACAACAGCCCTTTGAAGGGGAACCAGGAAAGACAATGTGTGAAAGGATAAAGGCAATGAGACAAGCTTGGATGTAATAATCCCATGTGAATGATTATTGCTGCAACTAATGTAATCTAATAATGAAGAATTTACACCAGATGTCCCCTGGAATATGCCAGGCAGACTCAGGATTCAGTGGTGGATCTATTTCTAAGGAAACCTTGTTAGGAGGGGAAAAAATGCTGTTTTGTGTTCATCAAATGAAAGGCTGTGGACCATTATAGTCGGAGTCGTAACAAAAGCCTGCCTGGCAAATCTTCCTGGAAAGGTGTTCAGCAGGCCTGATTGTCCATGTGTTTTCAGGTGAAATTTAAGGTTTAGGTTTGRCCTATAAAGCTTCTAAGAGTCATGGAGCAGTCTTTTCCAGGGCTGACAGCAGGATCTCCCCTGTCTCTCCCTGGAACTCAGAGGGAGCTTCTGGGACAYCAGTCTCCAGGACAGRTGAATGAAGAATGGAGGATCACTTYCTTTTATTTATTTTGAACTTGAAYCTCTTCAGCTCRCTCAAGTAAATCCTTAAACCAGTGCTTCATCCCTGTCCTGGACATCCCAGTCCATGGCACACCCCATGCAGCCCTTTCCTTCTCACAAGCTGCAGGTTATGGGGTCACCACACAGCGGGGAAAAGGAAATCAGAGAGCTCTGCACCAGAGCAATATCGTGGGTGTACCCAGGCTGCTGCAAAGTGAGATCAGCTTCATCTTGGCTCATACCATTTAGAAGTCCATTATGATGAGCACAGGCCTGGTAGAGCACTGCTGGCCACCCAGGTGTTCACCAAGACCTGGAGAAGTTTGGATGAAGCCAAACTTGCCCAAAGAGCAGAGCAGAACAGAGTTGGGATGATTTGTTATTTCACACCCAGCACTGACTGAAYGCTCTCCTAGCCCAGGGCAGCGCTACCAGCTGGGCACTGATTTCCATGGCATGTTTGGCACTCAGCCAAACCAGAGACCCAGCACTTCCTCTTCATTTGAAAACCACCGTGAGCTAATTGTAAAACAGTCACAAACCACACTTTTCACTCTCTCCCTCCTTGCCTCTGCTGCTTATTCATCACCTCTTTGAGGGTATTTTGTACAGGCATTCCAAACACCTCTTCCAGCTGCACTTTGGGGTTTCATCTGCTGTTCATAATTCCTCTTTAGCAACCACCGTTATTTAAGTGGCTCTGTGGGATGAGGGGGGAAGGGAAGCTTTAGCAAGCTCCAGATCCACTAAAACAAGAACCACTACATTCAACTTGAAAGATTTGTTTAAGCCCCATTAACTTAATTGGGACTTAACGTCTTGTTCATTGGTTGCTCTTGCAGAAGTGGTGGAGATCTCGGCGGTGAACACGTGTGACACCAGCACCGAGCCGTGGCGACTGTGTGGACACAGCATGATTGTGCCCAAACTGCATCCCCTGTGCTTCTCCTGTGCTCCTCCTTTGTCAGGTGTTGTGTAGTGAGGGCTGTGTGTCTGCTGAGATCTGTTTCACAGGGGCTCTCTGATCCGAGCTGCTACTCCATCCCAGCAGGCAGGCAGCTGCTCCAAAGGACTTTGCAAACAATAACACAAACATAGCTGCACTTAGGACCTGCAGACCTTGATTTTAGCCAGTTGGTGTGCCAGGCATCACCGTGCCTAGAAAACGACTTGCAAACAGGACCAAAGATCARGCCTAATTTTAGCAAGCCTTCAGGCTCTGCATCCCCGGGCTGTGCTTGCTTTGATGAAACACAATCACGGGATAAAAGAAAGCAAAAACCCAGCTGGCACCTGCTGGGAGGGCGGAGAGAGGGGATCTGGCAGCCGGGCGGTTCCTACCGAGATTGCCAACACTACTACACGTCTGGTTTGCTTTTTTGGGCAGCGTGGTGAATCCAAAGGTGATAAACATTTGGCTCGGCTGGCCAGACAAGAGGAGCCCCCATCAGACACTGCAMTCCCTCTCCTCTCTCACTGGAATCGCTACACCTCTCAAGGCAGCTCCTTCTGCTGTGCCTCACGTCCCCAGCCCTCGATTTTCAGAGAGGATTGAGGCTCTGCTGGAGTGAAACACATCMGTGGGAATAGCTGCTCCCTTGCAAAGAGCCGGCTAGCCGGCTGGGCTGATCACTACCAGACATCTGGACAGCCAATTGCACACTTCAGTTTGCAGCACAACACGAGGATTGTTGTTCGAGGATATCTTAAAACCTCGGGAAACTTAGTTTTCTGTAGTATTTTTAGGACAACTGTTTTATTTACAACTCAGTGTCATGGAAAGACAAATGTTTGATTAAACTGGGAATGACTTTGTTCTCCAAATGCTTCCAGTGCGGAAGAGTGACTCTGAAGAGAAAACCTTGCTGTTGTCTGAGCAACMAAAGAGATTAGTAAAGATTCTTGAYTACCCTTTCTCTAGGCYTGAAGTCCTGAAGAAATAGCTACAGCCCAGCTGTGCTCTTTACCCAAAGAGCATTTGGTGCTCTTTTTGCACCAGTTTCAGGCCAGGTTCTTTCYATAAATACCCAGTGGTTTCACTGTGTATTAACACGCAGGTGAGCTGGCTCAATACATTTATCAGCCAACCACCCTCRGCCTGAGTGACTCACTGCCCTGCAGCAGCCATGAGCCAGTCACCTCCTGTGACAGAGGGCAGCCACGCTGCTGGGCTGTGACAACCCTGGTGAGCTTTCCAAASCYATTCCTTGCCCCCACTCTCTCTCCRGAGAAGCCCACAGCATCTCTCTGGAAGTGTGGGCTGTGGAAAGGCTGCACCAAGTGGGTTTTATGGAGGTGGTCTGTCCTGCTGGGCCCCTCACGGGATGGAAGAAGCTGTTGAGAGCATCCCTGTGTCTGCTGTCTTTCACTGGAAACCACACTAGGAAAACATGCAGACCTTGGTGGAAGCTACAGCAATTAGGTTAATTAAGAGCTGGGGCAGGCCCATATGTTTTCTGATCTGTTGTTTTTTAGGTCCCCCTSTTGCACCTGTTCCCACAGCATCCAAACACTCCCAAGGCTTAGGTTTTCCCCCTCTAGATATGGGAACAGAAGGATGTTCCAGATCAGAGCAAAGGCCTGGCTGGCCT